AAAAGCCGTCAGAAGAAATATCGTGATTTATTATTGTAATATTTTTTCATAGACCTTAGTTTATTATGCTGCTCATATGTTGGTGTTAGAATAAAGAATTCTCGAGAGGCCAATCGGTGTTCTGGTTTTTGCCTCCGTTAGCACTAAGCATTTCTGAAAGGCTTTGAGGGACAGCGTGAGGCCGGGCGTAGCAAGAGCTGGGCATTAACGGTTTTTGGGACGTGATTGACAACGTCAGAGGTTTGTGGTCAGTGAAAATTATGAATTCACGATCCTCCACTGAATATCGAAGATGACGTATAGCACAGTACATAGCCATAAGTTCTCTTCTGGATGTGCTGTATATTATTTCTGCTAATTGTAGGCGCGTCGAGAAAATGGCGAGTGGTTGTCACTCTCTCTTAATTAGTTGTTGTAGAACTGCGCCGGTTGCGAGGTCTGATGCATCAAACGAGATACTTAACGGTGCCGTCGGATGCTGATACATTAAAAGTGTGGCATCCGCAATAGCTTCTTTAACCTGAGTAAAAGCATTTCGAGCAGACGCGTCAAGTTCGATGCACTTGTTATTCCCTCGAAGAAGGTCTGTAAATGGCTGGATCAGAGAGGCACAGTGGGGAATAAACCGTCAATAATAACTTACCAAGCCGTTAAAAGACTTTTCACAGTCTGTGGCTCTGGAAACTTCAGCATAGCCTCGACCTTAGTAGCCAGTGGGCGAATGCCCTTGCAGTCAATAGTGTGACCCAGGAAGTCGAGTGAGTCAACGCTTATCTGACACTTATGAATATTAACGGTGATACCATGTTGGCGTAACCTTTCAAATTCCAAGTCCAAGCGTCTAAGGTGAGTTTCCTTGTCTCGACTGGCAATGAGGCAGTCGTCCAAGCATGCGCGTACAAAGTCGAGACTGCGAAATACTTCGTCGATGAAGTGTTGGAATGTTTGTGCTGCATTCCGGAGACCGAATGGCATACGTAGAAATTCAAAAAGTCCGAAAAGCGTTATGATAGCCATTTTCGGAATACCTTCTAGTGCCATCGGGGTTCGGCTGTACGCTTTAACCAAGTCGATTTTAGAGAATATAGCTGCGCCAGATAATGTTGCCGCCAAGTCGTTAACGTGAGACAACGGGTAGCAATTACGGGTTGTTTTGGAGTTCATTCGCCGGTTTCGCCAGTGGATTGCCAATCGTTGCTATCCTTTTTCAGTTCCATATGAAGTGGGGATGCCCATGGGCTATTCGATGGCCGAATGTGTCCAAGGGTGAGCATATGGTCGAACTCATTTCCAGCGAGTCTTAGTTTGTCAGGAGCCAGTCGTCGTAATTTAGATATCACGGGCTGTCCTGAGGTAAGAATGTGATGCAGAACATTGCTGGTTATGGACGGTAGATCGTTAGACGGGCAACTAAGCTTCTAGTCATTATCAGCAATCGGTTGGAAGGTTGGATCAAGGACTGTCTTCATCTCCACGATTGACTAGCTGGGCCCTATATAGGTGATGCCTTTGATAGATAATCTAGTAGTACTGTCTATCAATCTTTTTCGGCGGACGTCTACGAGTAAATCATGGTGATTAAGTAGGTCCACGCCAGTGATGGGCATTGTGACGTCAGCGAGGAGGAAAATCCACTGAATAAGTTTGCGTAAACCTACGTTCAGACAGACGTATTTCCTACCAAAGGTTGCGATCGGTTTTCCATTTGCAGCCTGCAAGCTGAATGGAGAAGCGCTGTATCGATCTGCTGCTGTAGCAGGAAGGACGCTGACTTCGGCGTTTGTGTCGACTAAATAACGAGTCTGGCTGATCACATCATGAATGTAAAGTAGGCGGCTAGTGTCACCCGCGACGGTTGCCGCTGACGCGTGGAGGTACAATAGTTTCCCACATACTTTGAGACATTGTCGAAATTACAAGGTTTTCGGCAACATTTCGCTTCCTGGCCATAGGTGTTGTGATACCAGCACTAGTCAGGGTTTTTTAGTGAACGTGGCTTGGATTTAGATCGACCACGTGAGTTTCGCTGTTGAGGGGAGTTCAGATGACTGTAGGAGGAACTACAAGCTATGAAGGCTGGATAAAGTTGCATAACTCTATCACTGCACTATCCTTACTCGAAGTCTGTTTGGCCACCTAGCATATTTCAGTAAGTGGCCGTTTAGTTATTTCTAGAATTTTATCTGCACAAACAGCTAAGTCGTCTATAATAACGCCCTGAAGTGTCACCAGTACAGTCTGTACTGACTGTGGCAGTTTGGATAAGTAGAGTTCTCTGAAAATTCCTTCATCAAACTGACGTTGGCTGATAACTTCCAGCATCTGTGTAAGTATATTTACAGCAGCTTGATAACCTATCTGGACTCTTAAAAATAGTTCATCAAGATTCTACCGATGCGTGAGTTCATTTCTCTGTAGGAGGGCTGCTTACCTTTGGGCCAGACATATGCATATTTTTGTATTTGCTTAATTCTCACGGTGGGGTGTGAACGTCGGTAAGTAATCCTATGTTCACTGAAATCAGACTGGGCTATCTGGAACCACGATTCCACATAATCTGGCCAAAATGGCACGTGTCAGTCACGTCTCGTAAACCGTCAATGCTCAGCTCTTGCTACGCTGGGACTCACGCTGTCCCTTGAAGTTTCTCAGAAACGCCTAGTAATAACGGACGCAAAACCAAAACACCGATTGGCCTCTCGAGAATTCTTTATTGTAACGCCAACATATAGGCAGCTTTAAAATTAAGCTTTAACTAAGGTCTATGAACAAATATTACAATAATAAATCACGATATTTCTTCTGACAGTTTTGGTCTGACTTCTTTCTGAACAGCGACCGATGAGACGATGACTGGTGTATTGATGCTTCCGCGAAAATATAGGGAAGTTGGTTTTGAGCAAACAACCATGAATTGATCGTTCAGTCTTTAACTACATTGACAGCACGAGTCGAATGCTTTTGCTAGTTGGTTGAATACGGAGTATCGTCATATAAGCAAAATATGTATACATTAAAAATAGTATAAGGAAAAATACAAAATGGAACGAACTCAACGGATTCGCCTACGTGTTTTCCACGAATGAAGTTCGCGTTAGGGGTCAACAGTTTAGTGTCTGTAGGTGTTGACTTTCACGGATAGTACGAAGTAAACTAACGCAAGATCTAATACCAACAACTTCTACAGTATTTCTTCCGCGTAGACCAAAGGCGAAGCGAAACACCAGAATTTATCGGCCAAATTACGAATTATATTTCGGGACCGAAACGGAGTACGAGATGATTGTTTAGCTAGCTAGAGATCATGCATGGACGAACGAGCGTAACACGTAGGTGTGCCAAATGGCATGAATGCTTGACCGTAAGCACACTGCTTAAAACGTCGACTTAAGCAGTGACGGTCAACATCCAGTGTTCTGTGACGAAAGCTGTGGCTAATAATTCTGGGGAATTACACACTGTTGCAACAACCTTGTGTAGCGCCAAACTGCCCAAAATGTCTAACAGGTCGTAATACACTATTGTGAAAATCCATGAAGGTTTCTGACCGTTTACTTTCGTCAGCACGTAAGCTAAAACACAGAGTGTCAGTGGTTTGTTGGAGAAACAAAAATTCACAGAGTTCATCACTAAATGTATTCATTCATTACTTCCGTGTACACTGCATCCCGTTCGGAATCGTTCTATTCCACCATAATTCCAACTCCTAGTCAGCATTTTCTTCAGGTAGACTGCAGATATTCCAGTGTGAAATCTCATGGGGCACTGAAGGGAGTGGGACAGTTGTCTTCGATGGATCCTAGATTTTTCCAGTAGTATCTATTGTACACCCAAGAGGACTCTGGCTGGGATTCTGAAAGACACGACGAGAATCAGTGGACGACAGAAATTCCTGATTCATAGCCTTTTCCCGAGATAACGCCTGTTATTTTTACTGGATTTATGATTTCATCATCAGCTGACATCAGTTACAGAGCCACCGGAAAACCTAGAGGGAGTACTGGACAACTCTTTCGTTATATGTAGTGAACTGGCAGAAGTTAGAATTCAAGGACCATTGGATCGGGTCCCAGTGGCCCAATGGTCTACGAGCTCGCCTTGTATCCAGAAGGTTTTGGGTTCGAATCCCGGTGGGTGCGTACTGCTGAAGAGTCCCAAACTGGGAGGAAACAGCCGTCCAGTACTCCCAGGTTTTCCAGTGGTTCTCTAACTGATGTCAGCTCATGATTAAATCCTCCATGCAATCTTTCGTTATAGTCTGGGACTCTTATTCAGTGCGTACCCACTGGGGTTCTAACCCGGGACCTTCTGGTTACTAGGCGAGTTCGTAGACCCTTAAGCCACTGGTACCCAATCCAGTGGCCAACCAAACTCCTGCCAGTTCACGACATAGCGCGACCATTTCAGAGTGTCTTCTTCGACGAGTTCCTAACTTATCTTCAACCTGCTGTACCCGGTAATACCCGTAATTTGATGCTTTTGTTGAACATCTAAGTTTGACTGCACATGGTTTACTTGCCATATGCCCTGCCTAGTTAGTTCGCAGTTTCGTGACGATAATAAATTGCCTGAAAGAAATAACCTGAAGCTTTTTCGGTTTCATCACATAAAAAGTACATAATGGGAGAGCGCTTGATTCGAGATTGTTATTTTGCGGGATCTTTCGATAAGTGGTTGGTTTGGGCTTGGTTTCTAGTCGTCCCAAGCAGTCGCCACCTGTTTCACTAAAAGCAGATAAATTTGAATAATTTGGAGACTTGCTTTTGAATTTAAAGGTTTTATTACTGAATGTCACATCTCTGTTTGGTTTCTGTACGCTTTCCAGTGTAACCATTGTCATGGATATATGTTTTCTTCGTAACCAGCCATTATCAGAGTCAAAATAAAATGACGAATCATAAGGGATCTGTAACTGTATTTTGTCAGAATGATTTGTAAGCTTATTTCAATTGCTGTGGAATGGTGTGAACTGTATTGTGGTATCTAAGCGCAGTTGGAGTATGGGAGAATTAGTTTTGAAGGTCGTTACTGGAACTGTAGAGTTCATTGTCGATAAACCAGGTATGTTTTGCGTCATCATATGTAGTGATTATTTATTATCATTTTGAGATGGCAATACTTCTAAACACTTGTCTTATCAGGGGCTATTTATTTTAATCAATAAACGTTTGATAAGTATTCATCGAAAGCTGTGAATGAATAACAGGAATAATTAAAATTCTGACTTGAATATAAACAATGAAGTTTAAAGTCAGTTCATCACGTTCAGGGCATGCAAACGAAATTTTCCCCATAGACTTTTATTTCTGTAGTTGTAGAATACAAACACCATTACATAATCTTTCTCATAAATGTGAATACTTATTATTATTGTTGTTACAACTCCATTTGTCAGTTTCGCTTAAAAGGATGTCTGATATATCTGTAGCCCTGTCAGTGCCTGCAGTTGATGGGCTTACAACAGTCGGAAATTCTTTAACATCTTTATACACAAGTTTGTCTTTAGGTAACAACCTCTCATCCTAACTAGCTTTATATTAGCTGGTTTTGCTATATCGATTTTCGGTTTACAAAATTGACTCTTACTACTATTTATGTATACTATACACGATTTTGGAAAATGTGAAACAGCATGTCTCGAAATCCCAAAATACAACCAGTCTCTAGGACCGGTTGGTCAGCATTAGGTTTAGTCACTACCCTATAAATTCTGATTATGTATGGCCTCTGAATTAAGGCTTTGATATACTCCGTGTATGTCGTGACTTATTTTGCATGGTTTTACTACTATATTCTTTTTAAATTCCCTTACTGAATTTCAACTTTGATATACAACCGCTTACTTCCAGAACTCTATCCTCCCTATTCCGAACGGAGTTGTTTAGAACCTGTTTTGCGACATCAGTTTGACAGTAACGAGTAATACGCTACTGCGAAGCTCCATGGTTTATCTTGATAACAGACTCCCCAAAATCATTTTCTTATACCAAATATCTGTTTGTGAATTCTATTATTAGATGCTTCCCAATACTTCCGTGTGATCTCAGTTTCCCATTCCGGTTCTGTATCGTCCGACCTAAAAGTGGGTACATTTATAATCTCTGTCGATGGAATCCCACTCAGTGGATTAAGTCTTGAAGAGTTACAATCCCTTATTAACGACTCTGCCAGGTACTATACATTTTTATAGAGTTATTTATTAGTTTACATTTATCTAGTAATTATGCATTATCTAGTCACAAGAATTTTGTGGCTTTTACTTTTATTTTGTGTTGGAGGATTACATGGTTTTCTTGGCAGATATTGTGCACGTGTATAAGCTTCGGTTTTGTGATTTCCTCGGTTGTGTACTCCCGGTGTAAGACTGTTAACCCGCAACCTCTCGACAGAGATAATTTGTATCAATTCTTAGATGAAATCAGTTCACAAGTGCCACTGACTTATTCTCATAAAATTTTCAAAAAATGTTTTTAAAAATTAAAAATTAAGGAAATATATTAGCTAAAATACCGTAAATGCACAGTTTTCTCCAACTGTCCTTATTTGCTAGACATCTTAATTTACAAAATAAGCTTAACATCTTTTTGAAGTTATTTAGTCCTACCTATCAAAGGTCGAGGTGGAACTAGAAGGCAGGTATTTCGAGTAAGTTTCAAATCTAACCGTAGATATATTGGCCTGAAAATCACAGTCCATCAGGTTATGAGGACATCCTTGGAATTAAACTATGTGACTGTGATAATCTAATCATGGTTATTTAAGAGCTTAACTTAGTACGACTCCACATTGGTTAGTTTTCAACATATTTCTTAACCGAATTTATGGACTTTTCTCTGTTTTTCTGGTTTTTGAATGGGTTAAAATCCCATAAATTTGGCTTGTCAAATGCCATGTAGCCGTTTTGAGTGTAAGTATGTAGCTTAAAATAGTTAGGAACATTCAAAATTTTGCAACAAGAATTTTGCTAAATGCAGGTTAAAAAATCTGGTCAAACAAGTCACCTAGAAAAAGCGTGCGATTCCTCATAATCACAGTATTTAGTACAATAGTATAAAATTTCTAAAATCTAACGTGGTCAATTGGATATCATGGAACGTACTTAAGAAGAATGACCCAACAGCCATGTTTAGAAAATTCCTACGACTAGTAGAACTTTAGAAGTAATAAACTATTGAACTATAAAATATAAGTCTTAAAATATCATGATCACCGTGTTATAATTATAAGCGATAAAGCACACTCGAAATGTTATTCGGTAAGCAACGGTGTACCAATATGGTGCATCAGGTGAATGAAATAACATAGACTCATGACTGTGGTTAAAATTGTTCGTAGTGCCTGCGTCAAACGACAGGGGTTACCACTGTCTGTTCTTGCCTATATGTAGCTTTGATGCGGGGATTCTTTCGGTAATATTATGTCTTCTCCAACTCAGCAAGTCTCCCTCAGGAAGTTTGGACCATTGTTTTCAATGAAATGTTTGAGCACACATTTGGGGTGAGATTTGGTGCTACTCTACGACAATGGAATAATTATTGATAAGGGCAGACAGAGATTTCGGAAAGTTTTGACTGCTGATTTCACAAGAAAATTTTCTTTTGTACGTAATTTGAGCACAACATACTTATCATGAAAATTCGTATTCAGAGTTATGTAGCAGGGTCATGCAAATGCCATAATGTAAGAAATGATGGAGTGATCAGAAGAAAAAAGCAGTCACAAAAGATATCTGCGTAAATTGCCTTTCTTTCCCTATGTAACTACTTTCCACTCGATGAATCCACATCAAAAAGATGACCGCCGCTTAATTTCTGGCCGGTACTGGTGAGTAGTCGGCAAGGCAACATGAGTAAAATATGTTTAAAGCACACAGACTATCGTTTCACGATGAATACATTTATTAAATAGTGATTGTCATTCAGGCAAGACCTTCAAACCCTAGAATTACTTACGTAGCATTGCTACTGAATGGGAGCGGTCGGATAGATTTCAGTAGTAGTTAAGCAGTAATCATCAGATATCCTAGACTGGAATAAATTTATTTTTATCTCTACAGTGCAAGGTTATTTGCATAAAAATGCAATCGCCCAGTGCTTTGCAGCTAAAATTAAGTCTGGAACATTTAAAAAGTATATTCCACTTAGGTCTTTGTTGTACGAAAACTAATTCCATCCCTCATGTCTATCGGCACTTACACAACCATCAGGCTCAGCAAACCCGATAAATTGCTTTTTAAAATTCTCCGCCCGCCACTCTATATTGCATTAGAGATTGCTTACGTACACGTCACATCTTGGAAGGCATCCTATTAGTATGAGGCTAATAAATATCATTGGTTTGAATGAATTACAAGGGTGTGTGGTTATTAGTAAATGACACTGGTCCCGTCATGTTTGCGCAATGTGACCACCAACATGTGTGTAATTTTTGTCTTAAGAGGATTGAAGATGCCACTGCATCTGTCGAAATGAAAAGAACATCTAGACGTTGATTTGTTTACGAGTGAAAGTTTTTTAATGCCTAAGGGGCTCAGCTAGCTACTTTCAGCTTGACGTTTAAATTTAACAGACTTTTTTATACCTTTTTTCGGTTTAAATCTGTTGCATATTTAACTGTAATGCTGAGTGCAACTGAATTATTGGTTTTTAGTTTTTTTAGGTCGTTAATTTTATTGATGACCGAAACTCACTATTAGCACCGTTCACCTAATTCTGATCATAGTATAGATTAGGACTTCAGCAGAAATAGCAGATGTGAATACACCCACTGCATTTGCAGCTGGTTTCAGTATCATCTTTTAGATTCCACACTTGAGTAGCAAAAACAGTTGATATTTCGGCGGTGGCTATGGTGATTAAAATCACAGAGACATGGATTAAACTCTTCATCACTTATTCGCCTAATGACCTATACCGCTGTCTTCTACTCTTAAATGCATTTATTTTTACTTCCAACACAAAAATTATTAGAATATAGGCCGAGCCTGTTTTTACAATAACATTTCTATATTTGGTTAACGATGTAGAACTAATAAGTGTAACTCGGTGATCATTTTTAGGTTCATGCGTTAAGTCGTATGACTAAGCATATTTTAGTTCCCTATTGTGCACTAACTACTTATCTGTAAAACATTTCTACGTAGGGTTTTATAAAGTATACTAAGTTGTGATTGCCTTAAATTGTTTATACATACATAAAATTATTTATATTTTATGTAAAACTGTCACGTCTTAACGCATTTATTGTGTATTCAGTGTGAAATTTCATCAACCTTGTAATAAACCTCTGTTTATAATGCATACGTTTGTGTTGAAAATTAGTGACATAGATATACACTAGAGTTATGATTTGACTCAGCTATACTCGGAATTCTCATTGGTTTATAGCATAGCAACCGTCTCTTGTGTACGCTCTTGGTTTTACGTTGTGTAACTGCATATTTCTGTGTAATTCCTCCTTTCACTTGTTCAGTATTATAACAAATGTAGGTTAAAAAAAATAAAGCTACTGTGAAATTATGACCATTTATTTATTTAAAAAACCGAGGAAAATGCTTTTGTACACTGAAGTGCCATAGTATTGAAAGTAATTACAATAACAGCAGGTATAATAGCAAAGCTAATATTAATTATTAAACAGTTTAAACTAAAATAGAACAGAGATAAAGTTCATGTATCTCTTGAATTTCACATACCTTTGTGTATAGAGTACAAAAGGGAACTACACTATATCTCTACTGGTTTTTATGAGTTCCTTTGATACTTTCAGATTACTAGGTAACATTCCTTGCACCACAATAAGACACAATGTAATCTATCACTAGTTGTCATCATACTTCAGTAAATCCAGCGAAAACACTCTAGAGACCGATATAAAACTCGAAATAATGGTGTAGAAATACTAAAAAATTAGAAGTAATTACTGGATGATCAATGGGCTCATTCGTTAGTGATTCTCAGTAGTCATTCTAGAACCCTTACTATGCTAAAAATGTCTAGGATTGTAAAATGATATTGATTATTACTGAGTGACTACTTTGTGTTCATCAAACTTCTTTTTTGATTTCAAATAGACACATAGAAGTAACCTAAGAATTAGCTACTTGAAACTGACTATTGATCATCTCAAACCTAGCTTCTCATGTATTATTACTCTTAAGACAAATATGTACCATTCTGCATTTGTGGGCCGCTATATATTTAGCACAGCTGCTTGCATCCGTCCTGTTTTTCAATTTTCAGTTTGCCCAGCTAAAAATTACAAAGTATTGTTGTGTGTATATTCAGTGGTTTCATTCGTCAAAAAGCAGTCATATTAAGATATACATGAATAAGAAATCAGTTTAGAAAATTTAGTTACAGTTGGTGTTACTTCAGTCATCTCACATAACTGTTGATCACACCATATACTAGTGGTTGTTCATGTCTATCATCCTTTCTGCTTAAAAATAGGTATTATGATCGTTATTTGCTCACTGCACTCTGGTACACTTTTGTTTCACTAGATGTTATCATTTTTATGAAGTCTGAATGGAACTCGTGGTGTTTGGAGAAATCCAAATTTTTATCGTATTTTAAACCTGCTTATGTGTAGTGTTATTGTGTCTGATTTTTATTCAGCTAGTTTTTAATGTAAATTAGACTCTGAGTGTACTTGGGATTATCTAGAACATGTACAAATTCTGATTAATGTTAAGGTATATTCCTACTTAAATTATTGAAATCATCAATATGTGTCCTTCATATCCCTCATTTTTCACCTTTTCATCATCTGAGTTGAGTTCTCTTTTTCTGACTAATTGTCTTTTTTATTGTAGTTCGGGTGAATTGAAATTGAAATTAATGGATAATGAAGGCGAAAAATATTGTTCTTTTCATTTGGAAACTGGTAATAAACCAGTTTGTCGAATGGTAGATAAAGGTATAGTGATACTTTTTCTTTACACAGATGATATATTGTATGTTTTGATTATTTCTTAAGTTTGAATTTCATTGGAGAAAATTTTTAAAGTTGTAGTGAAAATGTACTAATGGACTTAACCCTAACTTACTTCAGAGACTCAGCGAATAATCTCGTTGACTTAGAATATGCAGATGATATAGTCCTTCTAGGCGAGGACGCTGACAAAATGCAGAGTCTTCTGAACACCTTGAGCTGCAATCTACGAATGTTTGACATGCTATTCGCTCCCGCCAAATGTAAGATGATGCTGTTACATTGACTCCTAGTTTGGAAATAGGAAGTGAAGTGGTAGAGCACGTTGACCACCTCACTTATTTGGGAAGTACCATCAGCCCCAACGAGTTGATCTCTGACGAAATCTCAGTACGGATACAGCGGACTAGTTTCGCATATGCCAGTTTACGCCGTCTCTGGCGTAGACGTGATATCCGGCTATCGACTAAAGGGCGAGTGTACTGCTCATCAATCCGCTCCGTCCTCCTTTACGGCTGTCAGCGAGGCGTGGCCATTGAGAGTGGAAGACATGAAAAGACTGGCTAGCAGTCTTTGATCATAGGTTCCTGTGTTCTATCTCCCGTGTGAAGTGGTATAATAAGGTGAGCAATATTGAGGTTAGGCCTCGGTCGAGTGCTAGTTAAGCAGGGAAATCAATCGACGAGGCTGTGAAGCTACATCGACTGAGATGGTTAGGGCATGTGTTATGTATGCCTAGTAATCGCCTTCCTCAACTGACGGGCAATGTTATCTGACTTAAGGTCAGACTGGAAAAGAGCTAGCGGTGGTCAAACCAAAACATGGCACCAGTCAATGAAATCCATTGTGTTTGATTATTATTTTTGTTCGGAATAGTGGTTAATATTGCATATTTATATATGTATATATTTTTAGTGTATGCGTATATTGATCGATTGATTTTTGTTTAAACTTAACTCTGTGCAAGTATGTTAAAATTGTTGTTGTAGATATATTTAATAATGTCTTTGCCATGTAAGCAGCTGACGAGAAGACAACGAAATAAAAGACGGTACCATTTTATTCTGCTAAAACTGTAGTTCTTGCATTGTTCAAATTCATTAAGGGGAATAAATGCATGAAATCCACAACAGTTAGTTTAAGCCACGTAGGAATGTTTAGACTTCCCGACTGGCTGGGGTCCTCGGGACGGTAAGAACCAATGGTTGGAAACAACAGGTGACATGGTTCAAAATCGTTCTCAATGGGTAGCGCAGATGCATCCACTCCTTGTGACTTATGATTTCCAATGAAACTACATTGTTCTTCGTTACTCCTATTTCTTTGTCTCACACCTCTGTTTACTGTCTCTATTATGCATTTCTTCAATCTTATTCTCTTGCTTTGTGTGCTACAAGGAGGGAGTGTGGCGACTTGAAGTGCCGCACATATGTGCAAACTTCTATGTCGAAAACAGGCAGACAGTAATGAAGATAATATTTAGACTAATAGTGAAAGACTTTCCGATAAGTAATTAAGGCGAAGCTAGACTTAAGCCACCGAAGAGGCGCGCGAATACACCGATGATCTTGGAAAGAGCCATAACACTGAATAGTAAATTTAGTCCTCCAATCCTAACCTTAATCGACCTCGAACCATTCCTAATTAGGTTAACCTAGCTCTAACCTGTTCCATGCCTAAACTCAGTACCAAGCTTCACACCATATCCAAAATAGGTATTTCAAAACAATTTTTACAATTTTTCTTATAATTTACAAGCTACATAACTTTTTAATAATTAGAGATATTCTTAGCTCATAAAGCCGAATAACTTCTAACTAGATTATTTGAAATCATAAGTATTCTGTCAGTATTGTAACAGAATGCTGTATCTATTAATATACCTTTAGTCTGTTGTTGTTGCTGTTGTTGGTTTTACCTGTTTCGAATGCAAATGTCGTGTGTCAACCTATTATTATTATTATTATTTATTATTGTATCCTTTAGTTCCTAGAGGAACATAGGGCTTCAGCTGCGCACCTCCATTGACTTCGGTTTTCTGACAACTTTTTCACCCTGCTCCAGGTCTGTCCACATGCTTTCATCTCCTCTTCGCATGACCTCCTCCAAGTCACCCTTGGACGACCAACTCGCCGCCTCCCTTTCGGGTTCCACTCGAGGGCTTGTCTAGTGATGTCACTTGATGGTTTCCTCAGCGTATGGCCAATCCATCTCCATTTCTTTCTGCCTATTTGTTTCACAATCGGTTCCTGATTGGTTCGCTCCCAGAGATCCCTGTTGCTGATCTTTTCTGGCCATCTGATCTTGAGTATTGAGCGGAGACAGTTGTTAATGAAGGTTTGAAGTTTGTTTGAGATGCTCTTTATGACTCGCCAAGTCTCTGATCCGTATAGTAGCACTGACTTCACATTGGAGTTGAAAATCCGGATCTTATTTTTGATGCTGATTGCTGTTGACCTCCACACAGATTTGAGAGTAATGAAAGCTTGTCTTGCTTTTCCGATTCTGGCTTTGATGTCCTCGTCAGTTCCGCCTGTAGTTGAGACGATGCTTCCCAGGTAGGTGAAGGAGGTTGTTTCTTTCAGGTTCTTCCCATTTATGCTTATTGTGGTCTGTTGTTGTTGTTGATGTTGGCAAGGAATCTTCATCATCTCTGTTTTATCTATGTTCACGTGAAGTCCTATCTTTGATGCTTCTTCTGCCAACTTGTTACTTTTCACTTGCATATCTTCCAGTTTATGGGAAATCAGACATATATCATCGGCGAAATCCAGATCCTCCAAGTCTTTTGTGTCAGTCCATTTTATGCCTGTTCCCTCGTTGGTTGCCGTTGTCTGTCGCATTATCCAATCAATTGCAATCAGGAAGATCATTGGTGATAGTAGACAGCCTTGCCTCACTCCCGTCCTCACTTCGAAGGCTTCCGTAAGTTTCCCGTTGTGGATTACTTGGCATGCAGCATTGTCGTATAACTGTTGGATGAGGTGTATAATTGTCGATGGGACCCCGTAGTAGCGAAGTAGTTTCCAAATGACCTCTCGATCGACGCTGTCGAAGGCCTTTTCAAAGTCGATGAAGTTGAGATAGAGAGGTGACTGCCATTCCAAGCTTTGTTCAATGATGATCCGTAGAGTGGCGATTTGATCAATACATGATTTGTTTCTCCTGAATCCAGCCTGTTCCGGACGAAGTTTTTCATCTAGGGCTTGTTTGATTCTCTCCAGGATGATGCGACTTAGTATCTTGCTTGGAATGGACAGAAGCATAATTCCACGCCAGTTTTTACATTGACTTAAGTCTCCTTTCTTTGGAAGTTTGAATAAGTAACTGTTCTTCCAATCCTCGGGTACTTTGCCCTCTTTCCACACCTTCTCCAGTAGTGGTGTCATCAAGTCCGCTGTTGTCTCTGGGTCTATTTTCAAAGCCTCTGCTGGGATTCCATCTGGTCCCGGTGTTTTCCCAGTTTTAAGCATCTTGATTGCATTCAGGACTTCTGATTTCGTCGGGGGGTCAGTGTTCACTGGTAGTTCTGCTTCCGTTGTTGGTATTGCTGGACGTGTTGTAGGTGGCGGACGATTTAGAAGTCTTTTGAAGTGTTCAACCCAGTGCTTTCTCTGTTCCACCTCTTTGGTGATTGACTTTCCATTGTCGTCCTTTATTGGCTTAATCTGTGTCGAACGTTTGCCCGAAAGGTTCCTAGTTGTTTGGTAGAGTGTGGCGAGGTCTCCTTTGCCTGCAGCTTGTTCTGCTTCGTTTGCCATGGTTTCATAATATTTTCTTTTGTCTTCCCTGGCACTTTTCTTCACTCTTTTGTTCAGTGTATTGTAGCTTGCATTCAGCTCCTGTTTTTGTTGCTCGTCCGTGCACTGGATAATCTTTTGCTTCACTGTCCTTCTCTCTTCTATTAGTTTCCAAGTGTCCGTAGTGAGCCACTGTTTGTCCTGTCTCTTTTTTCTGCCTAGAATTTCTATGCAGGTTTGGCTCCACACCGTTTTCAAGTTGTTCCAGTGCTTTTCAACGCCGACCTCTTCGCTAGTGTTGATTTGTGTCTCGGCTTTGTCCTTTATGCTTGCAATGAAGATGTCCTTTGTAGCCTGGTCCTTCAGCTTTTGAGTGTTGAACTTGGCTTGTGGTCTATCTGCAGCTCCTGATTCCCTGAAAGCTTTTAATTTGATTTGGATTGTCCCTTGTACGAGATAGTGGTCTGAGCCAACGTCTGCTCCTCTTCTTGCTTTTGTGTCCAGTAGGCTGCGCCTCCACTTCCTTGAGATTGAGATGAAGTCGATTTGGTTTTTGGTTTGCCCGTCTGGTGACACCCATGTAGCCTTGTGGATATCTTTGTGCTTGTATACACTGCCACCAATCACCAGTTCGTTGAAGGCGCAGAAGTCGGCGAAGAGTTCTCCGTTTTCATTCATTTCTCCTAGAGCTTCTCTACCCATGATGAGTTCCCTTCCCGTATTGTCTGGTCCCAGTTTGGCGTTCATGTCTCCCATTAGTATTTTCATGTCGCCAGCTGGAGTATTGTCCATTGTTGCCTGTAGTTGCCTGTAGAATTCTTCTTTCTTCTCGAGGTCTGCGTTGTTTGTGGGTGCATAACATTGTATGATTGACACTTTCCTTCCTTTGGAGTTGAACCTGGCGGTCATTATCCTGGACGAAATCGCCTCCCATTGTATCAGGGCTTTCGTTGCCGTTGGTGACATCATGATAGCCACGCCCTCGGTGTGCGTGTGGTTATCTTCTGGGTGACCGGAGTAGATCACTGACTCACCTGTTGACAATTTGGTGAGTCCACTCCCATTCCATCTGCTCTCACATATTCCCAGCACTTGTATTCCGTATCTTTTCATCTCGTTGGCGATCTGGGCAGCTTTCCAGTCTCGTACATAGTTCGGACGTTCCATGTTCCTACACAGACTTTTTCTTTTGGTGCAAGGAGGTTCACATACTGAAGTTTCTGTAGCAATTTTTGTTTACAGGGT